ATGGGAAAATCGCACAGGGTGGAAGTTAGGCATCGGACAACGTCGTAGGACGTTCTGACTCGAATTTATATATATATATATATATATATATATATATATATATATATATATATATATATATATATATATATATATATATATATATATATATATATATATATATATATATATATATATATATATATACATAACTCTACAGGGTGGCTCGAATTCGACGCTCATCATTGGGATTTCGGAAACCGTAAGAGATACAGGATCGGTTAAATGGAGGCAAAGTTGCGCAATTTGATGCTCAATAAAATGCCGTATTGCACTTCCGCAAAAATCCGAATGTATTCGAAAAAAAAACGGAATTTTCAATTTTGTTTTCTATTGTTTCCTGGCTTTATTTGTTAAAATAACTTAAAATGAAAAACATTTTCATGGCCACTTTTTCTGCTCTATAACTCTGTGTCATTAAATATTGATTCTGACGTGTCGGCTACAGGCGACCATCATCAACTTAATTTTTTTAAAGACGGACCTGATTTTTTTTCAATTTAATTAAATCCTTTCATCACTTTTAAAACACTATATATAGTCACTTTGATATTTGCCGACGTTTCGTACAGAAAATTCCATCACCAGAATATTTTATGAAAAAAAAATAAATAAAAATGCAATACGGCATTTTATTGATCATCAAATTGCGCAACTTTGCCTCCATTTAACCGATCCTGTACCTCTTACGGTTTCCGAAATCCCAATGATGAGCGTCGAATTCGAGCCACCCTGTACTCCAACCAACTTTTGTACATGAGATGTATCTTACATGTTTTCTAAAAAGCTTGTAAAAGTGGATGGACCACAATATATCCACTTGAAAGCTATCGAAAACTATACAAAATATGGAAATAAACGACATAATATATTACATGAAAAATATATCAATGTGAATGTGATGTATGCCAAGAAATGACAAGTCGTGTTCTGAAATAACTTTATTATATTATATATTTATATTATACACACCTGAAAAAATACATAAAATAGTTAATAAATATCACAACACTTTTTTCGTTTTATTTCAAAGTGTAAATTTGACTATTAATACCTACTAAATGCAATTATAAATTTACCCTGTTAATATAAAATTATTACAACAAAAAGCAATTTATACATTTATTTTATTATCCTAAATTCTCTAAAGATAATTTAAAAATATATGCATTAGAACTTATTTCAAAAAAAAAATATATATATATATATATATATATATATATATATATATATATATATATATATATATATATATATATATATATATATATATATATAAACGATATTATAAATCAAAAATATAAATTACAAATAAATTATTAGGCATAATCTGATTATAAGGCAATAACCTACGAAAAATAATTGACAATTTTTATTACTCTTTATTAACATGGACGTCATATTATACTATATTTTACTATGTCAGCAATATAAATTAAATTAATCAAAATATTTGTAGAAATCCATAAAAACGTTAAATTCGAATTTTTTAAAATCTATGATGTCTTTTTTCGCGGAAACCATCCGAAACTAGCCTTTACTTATAAAAAAATATATATCAACCTACATAATTTTATATATTCGATTGAACATTTTTCACAGATAATGTTAATTATAAAAAATATCTATATTTTCTCAGTTCGTTGACATCGTGGGTGGTAACAAACCAATCTAACATCACAGCCTATATATTAGACAGCAAGTCGACATCGCTGCATATGCAGGCAGACAGAGCACCAGTCTGAATAGTCTTTATAAACGAATCTTCAATTGCTGTCCTCCTTTCACGCAGTTGTGCAGCTCTGAACTGTTCAAGAACGCGATACTCTCACTCCATTCAATTGAGTTATAAAGTTCAGAACTATTCCGCGCCATATGGAGGCACCAGGCTATCGCGCACAGCTCCTTTCAGAACCGTTCTGGGCTACTCGCAGGGCGTAAAGCTCTGGAACTTGAAATTCGCGAATGGAGGACAGCAATTGGGAGCTCGAAATTCTACTTGTTACATAACATAAAACAAGCGATTATCTAGGTAGGTATACTAGGGCTGGCATTTCTGGTCTTGGGTGTCGATTTTCGTGTGTATGAAGGGTGCGGTCAACACGCTTGGCAAAATAAGATGTACTGAATAAAGACAGAAGGCAAGAGTTTTCCCAAGCGCATGGAATCTAGCGTCAGATTAAGTAGTTATGTAATAAATACTTCGTATTTTTGCCCTCTCCGAGTTACTAGATTGTCATAGCGATTCACTCCTATACATGTAAACGCCGACCCAAGGTTTCGCTTGTCAGCAGGGTATAAAATAGTGATGGGAAAACCCGATTAATTTCAACAATCGAGTACTCGAGTTTCAAGCGATTGCAATAACCGAGTGATCTTTAAAAATACGGTTTTCATCCGTCGCGTCGCTTGTAAGTACTCGTTAACGAAAGCCAAGCAGTAAGTTGCATGCGCAGGGCACATAATCTTTCGGTGATGAATGGCAAGTAGCAGGCGGCGAGCGATTCGCTTGATTTAGTATGTTTCGAAGCAATGTCGATGTAGGTCGTAAAATTTTGTCCCTCAGATACGCAAAGGATAAATATATATACGGCGTCGTATAAATTTGCTACCTGCAATGTATGTAGACAATTCGCTCGACTTTTTATCGAGTATGTCACATTAAAATCGGATTTCAATTTATTTCATTCTAGGATGGCTTGTGTTCGTTGCTTGGTACTCGTCACTTGCATCGCTCGTTCATAATCGAGCGATGTCGGTTATTTCAATAATCGAGTACTCGAGCGAATTTTCGCTCTAGTTATCCCATCACTAGTATAAAAATAATGTCGACTGGCTGTTTAATGAATAAGTTGTGCTAACATCATTAGATATCACATATGCCATTATCGGTTCACAAACTAAATACAAGTCAGATCTAAAGAAGAAGCCAGTCCTATTGTCAATCGTATGCCAGTGAAAACCTCCTTAATGAGTCAAAAATATACTAATAGTAGAAACCGAGCTGCAACAAGCCAGTTTCAAAAAGACTTAAATCCCAAGTCTTAAGTCATTTCTAAAATTAAAATGATATAATCCAAGTCAATTTTAACCTAAAGTTTAAATGATTTAAATTTTAAATCTTTTATTTAAATCATTTTCTTTCAAGTCAAGTCATTATCATAGACTAAAGCTTGATTTTCATGCATCCGTTATACGTTAATACGATGGTCCGACGGTGCTCTGATTGGTCATAGCGTTTTCGCGCCACTTTTCATCCGTAAATATTTTACTTCAGCCCGTCAACGGATCCGTTCATACGATAACGGACGTTTTGACACTTTTTTAACAAATTTAATCTAACCTTAATAAAAATATAAGTAAAATTGCAAAATCGTTATGGAAACGAAAATATAAAATAACACCAACGTATATCCGATAAACGGAGGCATGAAAATGCAATAAATTTAAAAACTTGAAAAAGCATTTAATAGCTGTACACCTGCTTTATGTGCGAATTTTCTGCTTAAAGCTTGTCAGGCCAAGGAGACTACCCATTCATCGACCGGTTTCGGAGTTATACTCCATCATCAGGACGACTTTGATAGTCTACCTCGACCTGGCAAGCTCCAAACAGAAAATGCATGTCAAGTACGTTTCAGTACTTGTCTATGGTGAGTTCTTAACGAAGTCGGCATATCTAGCGGCCATCGTGCAACTAAATCGGCAACGAAACAGCGCGCCAAGGAAAACTCCAGCGGCTCACTGGTACATAAATGCGTACGCATTTTTTAGCAGGGCTATAGTTTGAAAAAGCATTTAATAGCCGTACACCTGCTTTATGTGCGGTGTACGGCTATTAAATGCTTTTTCAAACTACAGCCCTGCTAAAAAATGCGTACGCAAATTTAAAAACTGCGTAATTTTCTAACCAATCAAAGTCTTTAAATTCTACCAATAAAATTAATATCGTATCAACGTATCGTCGGACAACGGATGCATGAAAATCAAGCTTTACAAGTTACTTTCGTAGACTTAAATCAAGATAATGTAATTAAGTGGTTTTTATGACTTAAGTCTATATTTTTTATTTAAATCATGATGATCTTAAGACGTTAAGTCGCCAAAATGACTTAAATCAAAATAATTACCGTCTAATAATACTAATAATACTATTTTTTAATGTTAATATAAATTAGTTAAATCAGAAGTATCGCTCTCATGGATTGATGAAACTTTTAATCAGAAAGGAAAGACGCAATGCAATCGTCTTATTAATAATACGGTGGCTTGTTCTTTAGATGCGGCTACTCTACATCTTTTCAATTCAATTATCATTTAGCAGTATTAACCCAGCCGCTATGAAAAGAGCCGAAGCCACGATGTCAAAGATCAAATTATTAAAATAAGTATATTAATCGTTAAAATCACTTATATTTTTACCTTTAAAGCATGTTATAATATCAGTTTGATTTTTATATTTTCTCTATCAACAAACAATAAAAAGCAATAATTATAAAACAATAAATATAATATTTAAATATTTAAGAAAATCTCAAGAAATAAATAGCTTATAAAACTAATAAAATAATTATAAGTGTTTCTTATAATTATTCTATTAGTTTAAGCATAGGCCAAAGGCCCAGGTTTGGTTAGGTAACAACCCCTCTTTGCTAGTTTAGAACCTCAACTCGGCCAACTATAAAAAAATAATCAATTACATAGTAGTCCCATAATAAAAAAAAAACAGGATGTTTTTAAGTACATACCCAAAGTATTTATTAGGATGAATTTCAGGAAAATATTTTTACTTCTGATGTGCAATGGATAGAGATTTTTTTTTAAATGGAACACCCTGTATATTATTGCAGTTTAGCCTTCCATCCTGATCACTTTACATATAATCCTAAGATATTATCAAATATATTTGGATAGTTTTAGATATATTAACAAATAAATAAATAAAATATTTTATTCAGGCTTTTTTAAAAGAGTTATTAAAAATAAAAGTCCTGAAATCAAAACTACATATTCTACTAGGTATTTACTATAGTTGGTCTACACTTACTTTGCTCAGAAGCTGTCTTTAAGTATCATACCTTTGTGACAGACCTTCTAGTTGTTTAGAATTTTTGGTAAATTATATATATAATCGAAAAAAAGGTGTCAAAAGCGGCTGGGGAATGACAATCACTGATAATTTTGACGAGGTCAATCTCTAGACATTTTTTACTTAATATTGACATAAAACTTGTCAAAAATAAGACTAATTATAGAAACATTAAAAAACGATAGACATATATTGATTTCCACAAAAATAGTTTTTCTTAAAAAAATCATTTTTTGATTTTTTAAAAATAATTTTTACTCAATATGGCCTTCCTAAGGCCAACTAGCGGTAAGCGCCATTAAGAAAATAAAGTACAGTATGGGCTAGGTAAATGACGCCTACGGCTTGACCTCGCCAAAATTATCACTGATTTTCATTTCCCAACCGTTTTTTTTATCGCATGGTATAATTATTGTAACTTTGACATTATTTCAGGTATGTGCCGGTGCGCAATTGCCCGTTTTACAATGTTTAAAAATATACAGTTGTGAGGATCAGTCCTACATCAGATTTCTAGTACCATATTATCAAAAAAAAAACGGCGTTAGTGATGGCTATGAAATGAAGATCGCTGTCATTTTATATGTAAATTTATATGGGAAATGTCATCGATCGTCATTTCCCAGCCAACTGGACGCCGTTTTTTTTTTTCGATCATACAGTACTTGTCTTCTTTTTCTCTTTGGAGAGTAGGAAGAAGTGCTGACCAATACTAGTCAACTGTGGTGACCAATGCTAGTGCTATTGCTGACCAAAGACAAGTGACCAAATCTAGACCTGAAAATGGTGTTTGGTTTGGCCTTTCCACCGAAAAAGAAATTATAGAATTGTTTCGCAACGAGACCGGTCAAAATACTTGTTTATAGGAACTTTATAGATTAAAATTGCTTCGTTCATCTCCAGTTAAATTCTGACTGGTTAAAAACAGGCTATCCTGTACATATTGCATATATAATCTAAAATTTTATTGTAAATAATTCAATATTAAATAATTTGAATTATCAAAAAATATAATTTTTTTACTCTTAACATAAAAGAAATCTGAAACTTTCCATATCGTTCAATACATCTAAAAAGGTTTGATCAATATGGAAAAAAGCAGTTTTCCCTTTGCAAAAGATTTAGCTTTAACTAAGTTAATTCTTAATATTTAAGTTTAATAGCTTAATTTCCTCATTTTCTTCAGAGCTAGATAAATAACTTTCTTCTATATCAGCAAAATCATGTTCGACGTCATCGTCGTCATCATCCTCATCATAATATGGTCGTGTAATAGGCCTCTCTATAATTAAAAACATATTTAGATGAAAAATTATCAATTTAGTATGCAATAACTCACTTCCAATAGGCCGAGTAAACAAATCAGTCTCTTTTGTTTCATCATCATCTTTGAAGTCCTCAAAAAATCCATTTTCAGACAAAAGTCCATACTCAAAACTACGCTTTTTACATGTTACAAAACAAAATATGCACAGTCCTAGCATTCCAGCTAATATAAAACCTAAAAAGAACACAGAAAGCTTCATTAGGTTACTCATTCTTTACAAGAATTAGTTCAAAATACCTGTTAATGTGACAAATGCAAATCGTGGTACACCCCAAATGGTTGTGTTCCTCTTTAAAGTAAATATCGCCACTTTAGGCACATTGGGATTATTTAAAGTTATAATTTTAACATGTTTAAAGTAGTTATAAGCCTCAACTATCACAGTATAAGTTCCCATGTGTAAAGGCACGCCATATTTCCCATTGTTATCGGAAAAACTTGTTTGATTTAATTCTACTATAAATATCTTAGCATTTGGCACAGGATGACTTTGATCATCATTGATATATCCTAAAAAATATCGAAGAATAATACATATAAATGTATAAAATAGACATTATTTAATGGTTTACCTTTGATACCTGTTGTAATTGGACCATCAAACGGATCATGGATAGTATTGTCAGTCTTCATAGCTTTATCATTATGATCGATATTTTCAATAGTACTACTTGGTTTATCTTTTAATTTTATTAAAACTACGTTAATATCGCTTAAAACCAGCTCTTTTACTACCACAGTCAATTCTTTTGAATTATAATTATGACAGGCGACTTGTATTGTATGTTCTCCAGGGGGCAACATTATTTTAAAATGTGCTTTAATTTTGCTAACTTCATAATCCTGATCAGATCCCACTACTCTTACTGTTGCGTTATGTAGTAAAAGATTGTCAGAGCTTTTAACAATACCTTGGATACCTAAAGATATTTATTGTTTGTATGTTAAACATGTATGCTAAAAAAACAGCGCCCAGTTACCTTAGAAATGCCATAATTTAATTCTAGTAATACACAAATTGTTATTAATAAACATTCCTAGGGTAAGTTGGAGTCTTTTTGCCCATAAGTAGAGTATATTTATTATAGTTGGGGTAGGAACATTTGGTGGTACAACAGCAAAACGCGCGCCCACTGTTAAAATTAAGGTGTTGTAAAGTTTTTAATCTGCGTTACTTGGTTTTTAATACTATCTTAGCTATTTCATATACGATTGAAAGCGTGCACTATTTCTGATCCATCCTTGGATTATATCGTCGCCACAGATCGTCGCGCTGTTGGCATATTATCTCCTGGCATATTGGCATATCGGCATATCGTGATATTCTCCTGGTAACCTCATTTTAATAGCATTCAAAGATATGCGAAGAAATTGCGAAGAAATCTTCGCTATAGCAAGATGCGTACAACTTATCTTAGATAGTAACTATTGGAAACTAGAAATAGTCATCCGATAGTCAAACAGCATTAAAAGGGATCAACTCAGTAACCATCAATTCAAAGTTGCTCAAAAAATGCCTAGAGAAGGTGGGGTGCCAACCCACCAACCGATAGAAGGCAATGAAAAAGCAAACGATCTAGATAGAAAAGGAGCGAACACTCCACTAACTGGACTAGAACCGTAATCTAGAAATGCAATCCTCCAACGTCTAAGACACTCGAAGAAATTTCTCAGAACTCAGACCGAGAAAAATCAAAGATTGTCCATGATTTAAATACGAACAATTTTCGGATTGCCAATGAACAATGAATTATCTCCTCAATGAACATCTCAGTAGATTGAAGCTAAGAAACAACGACGAATGCATATTCTGTGAGGAAAATGAGGAAACACCAGAACACCTCATCACTGAGTGCAGCGAGACAACAACCATTCATGCCATGCACTTTGGTACGACTGATATCGAAGAAAAACCGTCTCAGATACTGGCTTTTGTCAAAGTCCTGAGACTGTATGATGAGTTATAACTAGTAATGAGAAAAACCGATTAATTTCAATAATCGAGTACTCGAGTTTCAAGCGATTTCAATAATCGAGCGATGGCTCGAGCTAAATATCGCTCGTATTTACAAATACGGTTTTTCGCCAGTCGCTTGTCGCTTGTTGTACTCGTAACGCCAAGCAGTAAGTTGCGTGCGCAGAGCACATATTCTTTCGATGACGAATGGCAAGTATCAAGCGACGAGTAATTCGCTTGATTTAGTTTATTTCAAAGCATTGACGATGTAGATCGTAAAATTTTGTCACTCAGATACGCAATGGATAACGTCGTATAAATTTGCTACCTGCAATGTATGTAGAAAATTCGCTCAGCTTTTTATCGAGTATGTCACATTAAAATCGGATTTCAATTTATTTCATTCTAGAATGGCTTGCGTTCGTCGCTCGTTTATAATCGAGCGATGTCGGTTATTTTAATAATCGAGTACTCGAGCGAATTTTCGCTCGAGTTATCCCATCACTCGTTATAACTAATAAGAAAGAAAAACGGGCAATAGACCTGTAAAGATTACAGCATAACGGGCAATAGACCTGGTGATTAACCCCCCTACCATATATTCTATATTCTACACTGATGGTTTTTCTTTAGTTACGACCATTCTATACTTTATACGATAAAATAATTACTAGCAGTTAAACTACACAAATATCTAAAAGCTAACAATAGTGTAAATGCATGCACAAATTCAAACTTTAATAACTTTTTCTAAATCCTTTCTGTAAAAGTACTGTAGGAATAAAAGTATACAAACCGGTTCTAGTAGCATTCAAAACTGCCATCAAAGGCTCCAATACATCCCTCCAAATATACGGTATATTATCTACAGCAGGATAATCACAACAAGTGACTTTAGCAGTGATCATTGGGGTATTATATTCTTTATAGAGAAAGTCTGTTAAAAGATCATTAGTGCCATTTGTGCTTTGTAGGCACAGTTGTGGTACTTTCAAATGTTCCTCGTAAAGATCCGCTAACCGTTTGTATATTTTGATTTGATCCTGAGTATGAGGATATCTAAAGCACAGTAGTATTAAATAATGAGGAATTTGTTTTACATAGTATATAAAGCTGTTTTAAGTTTTGGTTGTCGACAAAAATATTATTTACTAAGCACTATAATAAAATATATACTTACAATATACCGCTTCCACCACCTTCAATATTTAATATTAAATCGAATTTTGTATCCAGCAGCATATGTTTAAAAGCATTTGTAATAACAATAGTATCACTGTTACTTGTAACTCGATTATTTAAATTAAGAATTTGTTCTCCTACTTGTTTAAAATCGGCGGTTATATTATTGCAAGTATATTTCTCTGGCTTTGATTTAACTTTGGTGACTTTCGGATAATCTCCCCATATCTAAAGTTAAAATTAATTTTAGATACAAGATATATAGCCTGTTAAGCGAGAGAATATATCATTTCGATAGATTGAATAAAATTGACACAAAATTATTCACTGTGATATATTCTTTCATTGGACAGTCTATACAGAGTGAGTCTTAAATAAGTGCAAATATTTTCAGAGGTAGTAAATTTTAACACAATTTTCCAGGAACACATCTATGAAGATTTTTTCGCAAAAAAAATTGTACTTTTCGAAATTTTAAAAGTTTTCAGGAATTTTTCAAAATATAATATCTTGATAAATGGCAACATAGGTAGTAAATTAAATTTAGTGGAACGAAAATACAGAAAAAATCCAGTTGTTCTCTGCAAAATTTAAGCAAAAAGTAATTTATTAATTTTTAAAAAAAAATATATTATATAAAATATTTTATTTGCCAGCCCTAAAAATATTTACACTTATTTAAAACTCACCCTGTACACTAAAAAGGTAGAAAATTACCTGCTCAAAAGATTTGTCTATAACAGGAATAACATGAACTACAGTATTAGAGAGAATATCAATTATAGCCGGATCTTTATAAGATGCGCCAGTAAGAATATGACGAGCCAGATTAATAGTAATTTCTCTTCCTATAGGTTGGGTAGCAAATAAATTACCCATAACAGCTACGTGAAATTTAGTATCATCCGACTGATCAATCTACGAAAAAACTATTTAGAACCTAGATCATATATACTCATTATATACTTAAGTGGATAAATCAATGCCAAAAGTCTCCAACATCACGACATGCCATTTTCCAACCTTCTTTATTGCACTTATGAAACGTTCAATAGGTTTGTCTTTCTCGAGGACCTTACTTTGCGCATTCGCATTAAAAGTTGCACGTATTTCCAAAATAATCACAATTTTATACGGTTTAGAAAGTACAAGTTATACATTGTTATGGAAACCAACTTTTCATTGTCATCATATTGTCATAATCATATGTCTTAATAGAAGATTATTTTCTTTTATCTATGATCATATGTCATAATTCTTATTTCCATTGTGTAACGACGCGACGCTCGTCTTTTTGCGTTTTTATTTTAAAAATTGTATTAATTACTCTTTTATCGACCGCTTTTATATAGCCAAGAATGCAAGTGTGTTTAGTGAGAAGTTAATTTTAAGTTTGTACAATTATATTTCTATTTTTTTTTTTCGTTGGACTTTCTAAATACTCGTAAAAATGCCTAGAAAGTGTTTAGTGTGCAAAAGTTCTAATATAAAGGTTCCCGAATTATCTTTTCATAGGCAAGTAAAGTATTCAGTTGTTCTTTTATTTATATTAAGCCACATGCATACTTTCTGGTTAGATTTCCTAATTTTGATATTTGTACAGAGTGGCTAAATGTATTTTTAGTAATTATGCAGTATAGGTGTTTTTCGTATTTTTAGAGATTTCTCAAAAATTCTTTTTTTACGTGATTCTAGAGACCAAATACAACACAAATCCGTGTGCGCACGTTGAAAACTAGATAATTTATAATTTACATAATATTTATTATAAAAAAAATGATACTTACGGGACGGGAGAGAAAAAAGGGGTGTTTGGGCGGGGTACTGCAGAAGGCCGCCGGGAGACACTGAAAAGAGGATTCCACGTCACTAAGGACACTAAATCGCTATAAACATTTGCTAAAAGATAGTTAAAATATGGCATATTTGAAAGTAATAAATTCAAAACAACATTTCGTCCGCCATCAGGGTGCAGCCACACTATCCTAAAAACGGCGTATCGGCGTAACGGCGTAATGACCTTGAATAGATTTCCAGTAATTCTATTGGCTGAAACATTCATCTGTCAGAAATTTTATCTGTCAAATTCATCTGTCAAAAATTTCAGCCAATAGAATTACTGGAAATCGATTCAAGGTCATTACGCCGTTACGCCGATACGCCATTTTTAGGATAGTGTGGCTGCACCCTCAATCAATTGATATTTGACTGTGACATTTGACACTTTGACACCGTCTCACAACTGAAAACCAATGTTGCCAAACATTGATCTATCCCTTAAAATATAAAGAAGGGAGCATCTCTACATGTAATTCACGGTTCTACGATAAAATAAGTTTTTTAAATATATACTAATTTTCGACGCGTAATCAATGAAGTTTTGTCATTAGGCTCAATTAGCGTAGGAATTATGGTTTGCACAGACGACAGCGCATTCGCGCATGTTTTGGTTAAGTTAGGCGGGTTGATTAGCGTGGTTATTTGGAGGGTGTTAATTCATTGGTTAGTTGGTTAAACGTTGCGGGATAGAATTGTACATTAAATTTACCGCTAGGTGCAAATGTCAAATACTCCCCCACCCCCACTCATATGGTTGCTCCATTCCTGCCAGCAGACACGAGCAGCTAAATGTACAATCCCATCCCGCGACGTTTAACCAACTAACCAATGAATTAACACCTTCCAAATAACTACGCTAACCAACCCGCCAAATAACTAAACCAATCCAACCAAAAAGAGTGAAACCAATGCATTATAATATTTTTTTTAACATTTTCGTTTTTTTTAATTACTATTACTAGTGACAACAGTCACGTACTGACACTGATGTACTTCGCTGAAATGTTGGGTAAGTTAAAATAATTTTTCATAATTTTTGTCATAATAATAATGTCGTTTTTATAATTTAACGTCCATCGCTTAACATCAGATATTTAGCAAGAATTTTACCTCTTTTCTTAGGAAATTTGGCAACATTGCATTAAAACGTCATATGATGTATGAAATGGCTAATGGCGGACGAAATGTCATTTTGAATTTATTACTTTCAAATTTGCCATATTTTAACAATTTTTAGCACATTTTTATAGTGATTTAGTGTGCTTAGTGATGTGGAATCCTCTTTTCAGTGTCTCGGGGCGACCTTCTGCAGTACCCGGCCCAAACACCCCTTTTTACTCCCCGTCCCGTAAGTATCATTTTTTTCATAATAAATATGTAAATTATAAATTATCTAAAAAAAATTTCAACGTGCGCACACGGATTTGGGTTGTATTTGGTCTCTAGAATCGCGTAAAAAAAGAATTTTTGAGAAATCACTAAAAATACAAAAAACACCTATACTGCATAATTACCGTATTTTTTATATAATTTAATTTTTGTGACAGTAAACATTCAATTTATTGTTCAAATATAAGCATTTTACAAATTAAATTTTTAAAATTAATGTTCATATTTGGCGCGCGGACGATAGGTCCTCCACAAGGATAGATAGAGTAGAAGCACCGCTTGTGCAACAAAAAAAGAAGATAAATGGAAGTCGTTGATATGTTTGCGACAGTTTCCATAGTGATTTAGTTATCCACGTAAGTATATATGATCTAGGATTTAGTTAGCAAAAATTGATTTAGAACTAGCAAAAATCATTTGTGCATTTTTTATACCTGTTTACTGATTTCTAACCAATGAATTGACATTGAAACAAGATCATCGCCTCCGTGAAACTCAGCAAAATCGGGAAATCTATTTTCAAAGTCACTTAAAATAGTATACAACTGAGAAGTATTGTGATATCCTAAAGCAAATATGTTACGATATTCACCAAAATCGTACGCACTTGACCAATGTGTTGGATCATCTTTCATCAAAATTGGATTTAATTGTACGCTTCCAGATTCAGGAATTTTCTAAAAATTAATAATATAACAAATAAATATAATATAGGTATATCCAGCTCAAACAATTTCAGTAGTAAATGGTTCGTATCCTCTTGCTGTAAATGTAATGTTATATTTTCCAGGTAACAGCAACCTCCAGTAATCGCCATCTTTAGATGTTTTTACTGCATGTTTATTTCCTTCTACTATGATTTCTGCATGTGATATTTTAGTACCTATTGTACTGGTAACAAAACCATGAACTCCTATATGAACCTAGAAAGTAACAATGACTAAAGCTCAAAGTTTTCCAATATTTTAGCGACTATAAAACATTATTATGTCTAAATAAATCTCTGGAAATAATATAATAGCCTCTAAAACACATACTGTAAGCGCAAAACATTTGCCGATGCACGTCATCAATCATATCGACATTGACACTAAAGTATATAAACTTGACTAAATAAATTTTTGGCAAAAATGTTTAATTCGTTGTATAATTTAAGATACCGAGCAGCTCTTCATTTTACTTATAGAGCAAATGATTGTAACAGATATTTCATTTAGATTAAAGTTGCAAAAATGAGTTTAAACCGAATTTTATTATCGCTATGTTGGTCACATTACGCCGTTTTCAGCAAGGTTGTCGTTTACTAATTGACAATGGGCTCTTTCACTATATTTTGGAATTAGCATAATTGAATGAAGCAATTAATTCTAGAATTTTCTGCTATCTCACTTTCGAAAAATTCGAAGTCGTTCTTAAAAAAATAAATAAAACAAAAAAGCCCATAATAAAAATCTGCACTTTATTTTTAATACGTCACACCTGGCATGTTGAAAAGCGGCAACAGGGCCGCGGCCAGGCCACCATGCTGACCAAATACGTTTAAATTTGATGCTGACCCACCACCACCTCCACACAAGGCCATTCAACCTTTTCCAATACGGAGGAGATAGAAGTGCTTTATTTGGCGCGTATTTTAAAACCTGTTTTATTTCCAAATAGACATTTTTCACACAAATGTCGGGTTAGATTACGTAATATTTCACTAATTTTTTAATATACAGGGAGTCTAAAGTCCTCCACATAAGTATGGAATTTTTTGTATTATTGCTTTTATGAAAACATCAGTTAGTTACTTTTTATAAAAAGGTCTGCTTTCTCAGAAAATAGGTAGTGTTAAAATATTCAAACTTAAGGTAGCATATATAGGGTGTTCAAAATCATCGGAAAAAGAAATAACCAGAAGTATATGACAGAAAATAGCAATATAAACTAAATGAAAACAATTGCAAACACTTACCTAACATAGTTTAGAATTTACTGAACGTTTGATAAATATATACTATTATGGACAGTATAAGAAGTTACTTGTCTTAGTAAAAGCCTTGGTAAATTCTCTTGGAATTATAAACTACACTGGCTTGGGTCAAAAAATATGGAATATTTTTTCTATGTTTTGCAGCATTACACAAATGGGAATAAATTTAAACTATAATAGGTGAGGATAAATAAAAAATATAATGTGTTTCAAGATTTTATATAGAAAAAAAAACTAAATACCTTTTTGGGGGTTCGTAAGTAAAACTTACGCTTAGCTTAGTTTTCTCTTTCTCTTTACATAGGGCATTGTCTTTGTGGTAAAGACGCCATTACTTTTTTTTGCTTCAATAATTGGATATTCTGAACAAGATGGATTTAATAATAAATTGTGACGTATGTGAGGGGCAATTGTGGCCCAAAAAAAGACTTACATCCAGGTCATTTATATTTTCAAATGTCAATGTTGTCAATATCTTTCTGTGATCTTTTTGATGGAAAAAGCTTGATTCTTCTTCCAATATTTTACTTATAGTGAGGTAAGTGTAAGTAGTAGCCATAACTACCCTCACTAGGGTAACAGAGGCTTTGGCCTTTGGCCTTTTTGAGGCATATTTAATGCACTTCTTACCCGAGAACTACTAGTAGGAGTGAAATTATCTATTTTAATAGCTGTCAACCATTTTTTACGAAGCTTGTCATTTTTGGCATGTAAAAGGCATGCTACAAAGAATGTTAATACCTATCTTTTGATTATTGTAAGTAACCATTATAAAGTACTATGCAGACTGGCGGCGAAGGCTTTTTACTCATTTAGGTGTAATATCTTGATAAATACTTCTAGTTCTTACCTTAAAATAATTAATAATAGAGGAGTACGACAAGCACAAAAGTTTGAAGTTCCCTATGTGGAATGACTGGTTTGGATTTTTATTACACTGTTATTTTATCACAATTTTCTGATCACACCATGCACTGAACACTAAGAACTAAACAAAGGTGTTGCAGAAGCAAAACAAACTAGAGATAATTAATTATTTCTGGTATGCAATCGGAACGAGAAACCACTACCGGCTTTTCAGGTTAAAGGTAAACAATTTAATAATGCGCTGCCTTCGCCGCCATATTTGCCTTGCCCATATCATGTTGATTGGCCTTGAGTTGAGGTGGTGCTGGTCAAATCAAATCGCATTGTTGCCAGTTGTTGGCTGGCGCACGAGCACGGTTCTGCAATGTGATTGGGCGTATTTTTCATACGTCATCAATTGGCACTTTAAAATTATTTCAAATTAAAGCAATTTTGGGGGCCTATAAAAAAATTTCCAATGTCATGGAACTATTTTTTTTGATAAATATACTGAAAATAGTCTTCTATTTTAGATTTTGTCCTTGAATTGGGTATTTTATTTTTTGTGAAAGAGCCCATTATCCTAATGTCAGTCATTATTTTGTATAATATCGTGTTGTTGTTGAATCTTTGTGAGTAATTCTCGTTTTTTGCATATTTTCATAGTATTTTTTTAAAAATTGCACTTTTAAGCACAAACAGTTCTTTTAAGAACTAAATTTTTAAGTTTTTGTATTGCATTTCTTGAAATTGTGTGTTGAAAATATGCCGAAGCATTGAAACAGTCGAAGCAAAGAGCTTTTAGCTTCCCTGATAAATTATTTTAAACGAGAACGTGACAATAAAGGTCCTTTATTACCCCTAACTGCAGTCGGAGAAGTAAGTTTGATTGATAAGCACATTACACCACTTTCAAAGCTATTTCTATGTTAGTTTTTTATTAAATTCTGTGATTATTAGTTTGTGCATTAATAGCACCCTCTTACTTGTTATTACTACTTATGGCGTTGTAAGATGTACATCAATAAATAAATAAATAACCCATAATAACGCTTAGAATAATCTTCATAATGGAACAGTTTTTGCCAATTTGTAATAAGTAAAATAAACCATAAAACAAAGTCACTTTTAAATTAAGATTCATCTCATAAATCCATCACAATCTGGCAGCGCTGTCGCCATCGCTTGTCATTCAAAATTGATCACGTGCATCAGAAATTGTTTTACGATTACCATAGTTAAAACTCAAAGTTATCTTTTCTATTTTATTGTAAAAAAGACAATCTATTTACTTCAACATAAATATACACAACCAACAAAAAGGCTTATGTTTGGTTGTAGTTTGTTTTGTTAGTATTTCCGTATGTAAAAAGAGTACAACGCATTTATAATGTACTGGACAAAGAGAGAACAGTAAAAACCTTGCCAAACGTATAAAATAAACCGACTAACTGTGCACATTGCTAAGAGACATCGAAGGGGATAAGGCAGTTTCGTCGAGATCGACCGCATAAATTCATGAATTTTATAAATTGAAATTCAGTGCTTAGAATTCTAGGGAAGTGTGTACATCATGTATTCAGCTTGGCGGTTTATTTACGTCACGTTATACTTGATTTGTTTATTTATTAATAAATCGTTGTTATATTTTCCTTATAGCTTGTAAATTTTTAAATACAAGTTGGAAATTAAACAAGGACTCTAAAATGCTCAAACGTTTACCGCTTTTGGTAAAAATAAGTTAAACTTTGTCGGTGCTAAACAGTGGTCGCGTTATTAGAATTCAAAAATCAATATCTCGAGATCATTAAAAATAATTGATTGTGCTTTTTTTAAAAAACTTTTTTAACTTTTTTGCTTATATTTTCTTTGCAGACAGTATGTGTAAATGTTTACAAATAAAAAAGTCACACAATTGCTGAAAATTGCTATGCACTAAAAGTAAGGACGCGTTTTTTAATTTTTTTGAACAGAAAAGAAACGAATCTGTCGAATTTTTCTCATTTAAACATCTTGTCAAAGATCCGAACTTCAAAATAAAAAAAGAAAATTTCAATTTCCAATGTAGTTTTTGAGTCATCGCGTGTTATATGTTAAGAAGTTGAGTTTTCAAATAGTTTCATGTAGTTATCTTTCCGGAAAAAAGAATTAAAAATGAGCGCCTTTCAACTGTGATTTTACTACACTAGATAGGGAAACGCGTACTTGTATCACTGAGAAATATGGCAACATTGCTACAGCACACCATCGAATTTTTCTCATTCTGACTTATAAGATCCCTAAGCGATTCACTTCCCCACATGTAAATACCGACCCAAAAGGAAGAGTTGCCAGCACGGTATAATAATGATATGCCCGGCAAAACTTTTTAATTTATTATTTTATAAATATTTTCTTACTTGTTCTATGTACTTTATTAAAGCTTCTCTGTTATCTAGCCAATATTTTGGCAAATCTTTTGCATATGGGTATTTGTAGCACCCAATTTCTAAAGTAATTTCAATACAACCAGCCTCCAAATAGTTCCAGTCCTGCATTCCACCAGTAACTTGATACCATTTTGCGCCATTTGTTATTCCACCTTTAAATTTTTCATTTGGAAACATCGGACAAGCTGTTCCATCATGCATTGTTCTATGTGCCTTAAAATAATTAATCAGTCAATCAAAAACAATACAAAAGATAAAAGATATATAGATTTATTGTATGAATGTATATGTTTACTTACATCAGAATAAGTTTTCGCCAAATATTTAAATAATTTATCATCTGGAGATGGATTTTCTTGGTTTAGTGGGGCATTCGGGGGGTTATCATCAAACGGATAATTTGCCACTAGAGCTCCATTATGTAAATTAGCGGATAACACAAAAGGTTCGGACGTTATCCACCGCATCACTAACTGAGTCTCCGGTTCCAAGAATCTATTGAACTAAAATATATATATATATATATATATATATATATATATATATATATATATATATATATATATATATATATATATATATATATATATATATATATATATATATATATATATATATATATTTAGTTTTTTACAAGTATTTAAATTCTGTTACCAATATTAAAATAAATTTACTATTCCTATTTCCATACCCCAGAAGCAAACTATAGGTTTGTTCCAACCAGCATTTCGGGATCGTTTCGAAATCGTACTCGAATCGGTTTTCTTGCACTTTGTTAGCATGCGCGGAGTTCGAATAGTTTCGTGACGGTGCAAAAAGTATCAACGTTGGAACGCCTTGTGGATTGTTTTCGGGACTGTCAAAAGTGTATCGATCGTTTTTTTTATTTTTGTTTAGAATTTCATAACATAACTCTATTATTTTTGTTTGTAATTTGCAATAATAATAATTATTATTCTTGAAATGGAGAATCAGAATCCAGTAATTGTTGGTAAGTATTGTTTCAACTGTATACTCACTAACTCACTTACCTATCCTCTCTTTTATGATCCAGTTATGCGTAGTTTCCTGTTATTTCATTGCAGTGGTAGAATCTTTGAACATTATTTTATAAATAAAAAATTAATTAAAATTTCTGAACGATTTACTCCACACAACCTCACAAGCAAAAGTATAACGCACACGTATTCGAATTTGTAAAAAAATAACCTAAACAGGAGCATCAGCCGGACGCCGGACCAGAATCAGCTGTCAAAAATCGATAATCCCTGCCAATATGCTTTAATGCGCAAGTCAGCCCAAACAGTTCTCAATTTGGACCAACCGAAATTACGGTTCTGAAATCGTAACTAAACGATCCCAAGATAGGTTGGTACGCAAATAGGATCGTCCGATAATCATCAAATCTCGGTTGGAACACATTTGAATTACTGTGCACGAGCGTGATCGTTCGGTGACGGTTCTGCGGCGGGTTGGAACAAACCTTGTTAAGTCACAAAATACAGTTTTGGGACAAACGAATTTAAAGTTCTTTTTTAAAGTTATTTCCTAATTCAAGTATTTTTAAACCTATGATTGTAGTATTTGATATATGACTAACTTATTTTGAAATTAAATGAAATGTAAAACAGTTTTTTTTTAAATAAATTATACCAACATTTTGTGGAGTAACTGAAATACATGCCAATTTTGGAAATAACATAGTTTGCTTCTAGGGTACAGATTTGTGATCAATAAATATTTACCTGATTTATGCCATACTGATCTGGAAAATTTCTATTTAAATCAAAACCATTTGAATTAGATCGACCATTGCTACTTGATGCGTCACCTAAAATAAGTATCATAGGTGAAAGCCTATGGTAAAAACTATAGTATGTACAACCAATATTTACAACAATAGCATTCTGACAGTGGCACTTTTTTATTGGCACTCAATTTTAGGATGTCATCCGTGAAAATCGCTCCTTTTGTTAATGGAAACTGGACATGCCATAGGAATACGTACAACTCGTCACAATTTTTATTAAGAAAAAAAAGTGCCGCTAATATTGTTATAATTATGAAATTTCTAGGCTGAGTGACACCTAACTACCCTAATATCACATGTAACATATACTATGTTATCTGTGCTAGTATGTTCTTACGTTATCCCATTATAAAATAAAGTATACAGGTTCAGCAAGAGAGTGTATTGAATCTGCATTTGCATATGTTAAAGTTGGAGTAAATTGTTATAATTAATAATAAACTAATGTCGAATAGTTACTAATTGTAACTAGAAAATTACCATGGCGATTGGAACGACACCAGGCATCTTGATTGCCATTTTATTGAAAAATCGCTTTTTATTCAAAATCTGAGCTAGATAGGTATAGGAAACCCTAATATAGTTTAAAAGAGCATTTGAATCTGCTTCGATTGATTTAAAAAAATACAGGGTGTTGTATTTGGAATAACGAAGTTTTTATGTAAATTAAATATTTAAAATAGACAAATATTTTGATACCCCTGTATACATTAAACGAAGCAATCAAATTTTTCAGTAAAGTTTTTTTCTCTGGCTTAAAAGTCCGCACAAGAATTAGTTCTGAAATATCTCAAAAACCGAAGATTTTAAACATATTTAACCCGTATAATAAATACCTTTTTTTGGGCCCAAGAATCCAAAAATAAAATAAAATACCGGGTGTGCCATAAGAAAAAATATAACTTTGGTATGGATCTTAGTTCTGAAACACCCTGTATATTTCAAAATAATTTAAAATTGTGCACATTGCCTCCCCACATATACCCATAAAATTTTGTTTCTACATCTTTCCGTTTTCGTATAATCAACCGAGGTGAATGAGGTGCGCCACACTGTATATTCTCACTCCTCACCTTCAACTGAAGCCTCATAACCGTCTGGATTCATGCTAGGTAATAAATGTATGCGTGTTGTTTCTAACAACTTGGTTATTCTATCATCTGTACCATATCTTTCACACATATATTTTATTAAATACAATAGCAATTCTCTTCCAACAACTTCATTGCCATGCATATTAGCGACATATTTGAATTCAGGCTTTCCTAAAAATATTCAGTATTCCAATAAGAACAAAAAATGAATATCTAAATAATATTCATAATATCTGTTGATACTAGAAAATATAATGGTTTGATAATAGTAAAGTAAATTATTTACCAGGTGTATGATGCATAGGAGTGGAACTCAGCACAAAAACAAATAACTCCATTCCTTTCACCGATTTTCCAATAGAATACATATGCGTAATATTTGGGTAAGTTCTGTTGTAAAGTTTGAGAAAATCCACCATATCCTTGTAATGATGATGTTTAAATAAATCAGGATCTCGTATCATGAACCCATATTCATCATACAATGAGGAATTGGAACTCACTGCTCGCGTATACTCCTCTAAATATTAAAAGTTAAGAGTAGTTAGTAGTAAATAGTAGTTAAGAAACTTTTTTTAGTAGTTACAATTCTAGGACATGCACTGTGTGAGCTAATAATGTAAATGATAGACAATTAAATTGTGCATAGGATTCATGTAAAATATACAGGGTGTTCCACTTAAATTAAACAAGTTATTGCTGTTTAAAGCTAGTAATTATTTAATATAAATTTGTAGACACTCTGTATAAGGTAGTATTTTGTTTATTATTGCAACACAGTATCTGATCAATAAATAAACTTCAGTAAATATTTAGTATTAAAAACTTTGATACACTTGGAGAAATGAAGCCTTAAAATTTTTACTGCAATTTCATAAAATTGAAAATAATTCAAAAACGGTAAGGTTTAAATGTGATATACCTTAATCAAATTTACCTTTATTTCAATCCTAGAATCTAAAAATAGAATAACATATAGGGTGTTCCATTTAAAAAAATACAACTATACTATTTTTTACTTATTTGGAACACTCTGTATCTTGTAAAAATATGTTTATATTGTAGCTCTAATAGTCCTTCAACGAACCCCAAACTTACAATTTGTAAAAATCTAATCATTTAGCTACAATACTGCGTGTCGTATGTGGTGAACAACCCTGTACGTGTATCAATACTATAATATTTTAAGGCATTTACTCTGCAAAGGAAAGGGTATAAAAATACACATGTTTATTTTTCTATTATTTTATTGGGATAATTATAACATAGAAAAATAAAAAACATTCACAAAAATGTGTTAGAAAAATCAAAATAAACATATGTATTTCATATTGTTCCATGACATTATAGGTACATACAGATCTATAAATCACAACCATAAAGATTTAAAATAATATGTATTTACTATAGCTTAGATAATTCTAAAACAATGATTTTATTAACGCTAAATCTTACAAGACACAATTTAGATATGTCAAAAAATAACTATATTGAAACAACTGGATAAAAACTGCTTGGCCTTCTACAGATGGTAGAATTCTGGCATCTAAATAAAACAGAGACCCTGTACCAAAAGATGTTTGAAATAAAAAAGTGTTGGAATTTCTTAATAGTTATTTTTTTACAAATCTAAGCTGTATTTCATAATGTACATGGAATGCATATATGAGTATTATATGTATAATATAATAAAAAAAATATACATATATTATCTTACATAATATATAATAAATAGCATATCATACAATTATTATTACGTATGTTTTCATGTGTGTTTGTGGCTAAAAAAAGTATTCGGAAACTTCATTGGAGTTAAATTTCAATAAGTGCTTTATTTAAAGAAAAATTAAAAAAAAATGTTTCTATAATTGTTCTCAAAATCATATATCACAGTGCATTCGGAATGTGCTAGTTCATTCACGCACCTCCGAATTAAAGTATACAAACCTATAAGATGTGCACATATATACTGTATGATCGAAAAAAATTGACAGTCGGCTTAGAAATGACAACATTCGCCATATAATTTTTCATATAAAATGACAGCAGACATTTCGAAGCCAATTCAGACGCTGTTTTTTTCTATATGATCAGCTTTATATTGAAAAATCATTAACTCACAAAACAATACTTTAAGTATTTTATTTGCAATTAAAGGAATAAAAACAAATCAACATTTTTTTCAATCAACAGGATGACTCATGAGAAATTGTTAATACTTAAGGTGTGTATTCAGGACTCAAAAATAAACGTAAAAATCAATATAAATAAAAGTCCACAGGGCCTTTGTTTTCCAGAGGTATGATATTAAATTATTTTATTTTATTCTATTTTTTAATAAAATCTATAATAATGTAATTATTGGAGTAAAAATTGGTATCCGTTTTTTTTTTTGATATGACGAATTCAATTCTAACCTTAGTATAGCTCTTACTTCTAGAGGGCGCTACCTACCAGCGGCGGATACAGAGGGGGGGGGCCACGGGGCCCCGACTAATCTATATTTCTTAAAAGTTAAAAATTAGTCTAATTATGTCTTAGAGAGATGTTACTTATTGCCCCAATACCAATAATCATCACCTTTCAATTTTGTTTCAGAATTACCTTGAGTTTCCGATTCACGGATCAATGTAAAATTTTGAATAATAGTTTCATTCTTTGTAACATCTACTTCCACTGGATTAGAAGGAAGATAGCTAATAATAAAAAAATTAAATGTTATTATTAGGTCAAAATAATTAACATACTAATACAACATACCCAAATGCTGCTGCATATATTCTATATTTTCCTGGTAGTAGAAGTCGCCAGAATTCACCTCTATTTGAGGTAGTAATATTATGATTTATTCCTTCCACTATAATATCAGCATCTAATATTGGTTGGCCGAGTTCATTGTTTACTACACCTAGAAATACAACAAAAGATAGTAGAAAAAGAAATACATAAAAAACATTTAATACCTTTAACACCCCAATGTGAAGCCTCCATAAAAGTCAACAAAGCTTCTTTGTTATAATACCATTCTATTGTTAAATTTTTTGCAGGAGGATATTTGCAACAACTTAACTCAAAAGTTACCTCAAAGCAGTTTGATTTGACATAATTAAAATCTTGCATACCACCTAAAATATACACAGATGTAAGAAGTCTTATATGATAAATATAAAATAGCTCACCTGTGACTTCATACCAAAATGCACCATTAGTAATACCATCTGGAAAATTATCATTGGGACATGCATTTCCTTTTTTCATCAGTGGATGCAATTGTGCATAAGTTAGGGCTAATTCTTTAAATACATTATTATCAGGACTCTTACTTTCTTTACAACATACACCTCCTGCTCTAAAGGGTCAATTAAAAGAAAATTAATATTAAAATGTAGTATTAATGAACTTAATAATGATGTATAGTTATAATGTATATTATAACTAGAGAACTACTAGTAATATGGATTAAAAGCTATTACTTACAAAGAATCATCATATGGATAGCTAGCAACAACAGCTCCGCCATGTAGATTTCCTGACAAAACAAATGGTCTAGACAAAATCCAAGTTATCATGGCTCGTGTTTCTGGTTGTCTATCAGATATAATTGTACCTGAAATATCATTTATATTTTAGTATACAATCAAAATTATTATATTATCAAAGATGAAAAATTACTTACCTGATCTTTGAGGATGGAACTGGTCTGGAAAATCTCTATTAAGATCAATACTATGTTCATTCTCCCTTCCGACATAGGCTGACTTTGATTCACAAAGACCTTCCTAAAATATGTATGAATAAAATGATGAATTGAATGTATTCAATATGCCTATTACTCCTTTACCTGCGAATTTTCAAATCCATCTGGATTCATACTTGGCATTAGATAAATATCTGTTGTATTAATTAATCTAGTAACTCTATCATTTACTCCATAATTTAGTACAAGATATTCAGCTAAATAAATCATTAACTGTCTTCCGATAGATTCATCTCCATGCATATTAGCAACATATTTAAACATAGGTGTTAACAGAGATCTGTTTTGTACATTTGAATTAATATGTAAAACCCATAATTCTCTATTTTTAACAGATCTACCAATACTAAGTAGTTTAACGATTTCTGGATTTTCCGTTTCCAATTTTCTAAACAAATTTGTTAGCTCATCGTAATTATGATACCTAGGATTTTCTAAGAACTTTTCATTTTCAGCAACAGGCAGGCATTCCGTTATTTTTTGTAGAAAGCAGATAAAAAGCACTAACTTTAACCACATATTGAGTATAACCACAGTATAACTAAAATCAATTCAAATACATCGGATTTCTATCGCAGTAGATAGAATCATAGACAAGAGATATACTAATGGATAGAATATACTGCGGTTTTATATTAACTTTTTCTTCATCCAACCAGGAAAACCAAAAATAAAAAAAGCAAATAAACGTCAACACTTTTTTGTAAGGTTATATTTCTAAACTAGTGATGAGTTCAGATTTCACTGATTAGTTCAAATGAACAATAAATGGACTATCGGCTAGAGATGGGCAAAAGTAACCGGTTTTTTGAATAACCGGTATTTTCCTCTAAAATAACCGGTTATTTAAAGGTAGTTTTTTTTTCACCAGTTAACCAAATAACCTTGCATTACGTTCAATAACCTATAGCCGGTTATTTTTAAAAAAATCGTACCTGTTTAAAACAAGTAACAATTAAATATAGCTGTTTGAATCGTAAATTTCGAAGAAGCGAACGGCACGGATCTTCCCGATATTTTGACGATAACGGGAGATCCCGCTCCCGCTCCCAAAACGAAAATATATGACATCAAACATCAAATGTCAAAATTAAATCAGGCATCGGGCGAACCCTGATAATAATCAAAACAACGGCCGAATGGCCCTGACAGGTCAGGCCGTAAAACAAAGTACTAATACCATAGACTACTACTAGCCACCAGCTAGCCAAGTGATACGAACCTAACTTCAAATAGATTCTCTAAATTCTATATTTAAATTTTAACCAACTTTAACGGATTTTCAACGGTTCTTCAAAAGTTTTCCATGGTTTCGCCCAGTTTCACCCACGTTTCACCGTAAATATATTTTATTTGTAG